TGTCTGTCCCTCATGGTTCTAATTGGTTTTTGAGATATTTTAAGACCTGTGGTATATTGTCTTGGATGTATCATGGTAGAAATTTTTCTATCATGATAAGGGTTCAATGAAAAAAAAAGTAAAAAAAAAGGATTTGTTGAATTAATAACTTGCGAAAAATCGGTCTGTAACTTTGAGGATATTACATCTAATAATATTTAGGAACATACCGACCATTTCACGAATCCCTGTTCTTCTTGTTGGACATAAACCATGTTATACCAGTTCATCACAAAGTTGAAAAAACATCTTTTTCCATGCAAAACATGTTATAACAACACTGAGGATGCCCTTGCAAAATTTCTTGCACACATGCATGACCTGATTGTGAACTAGTTCTACAAGACTCTTTTAATAAAGTTATTAGGTAATTAGATACTATTGCAGTAATAGCCTTAACCTCATCGTCTTCTACCTGTACAAGTAATTGTAATAAGCAAGATTGCGTATTGTCATCCATAAAAACTGCATAGCATAATTAAATAACCGTTACACTATTGTCCATGACTTAACATAAGAAACACATAACACAAGAGTCAAATAACACAGTCAGTTTCAAAACAAAGTTAACAACATGAACGGCACTAGCTAAATTTAAAACATTGAGAAGGTAAGCTAGGATTGATCTAATCTGCTTTTTTGCTTAAGCACTTCAAATAGGCCACTGAAACTCTTCTGTTGTCCCTAAGCCCAATATTCATGTCCCTTGCGGTCTTATCTAACAAAGCCACAGCATACTATCTAAGAAGTGCCTCATCATAAGCAATCTCCTTAATTTCATAAAGTTCCTTTGCAACATCCACTATATTTTGATCAATTGGTTTTGTCCCACCCTCTATGGAATTAAGAATTGACTTCACTGTTGAAACCTATCCTTTTGTGTGAACACCAATCGACTCACTAGATCAACCATCACAGTTGCAAGACGTTTTTCCTTCTTGTTTTGATCACTTTCACCTCTCTTTCTCTTGCTCCCCGAATTAGTACCACCACTGTATGCATTGTTCAAGTTGACCTGCCCAATTTCTGGGAGAACTCCTCCACTAATGTTTCTCACATCATCACTATCTCTTGATCCTTCAGTCAAATCCAGTTGAGGCCTATATACATCTTGTGGGTCATCAGTTGCAGGTGTCCATATGTAAGTACCCCGTGCTGCAATTGGCTAGAACAACTGTGTCAATTCTTGTACATATAGAGGTGGTCTATGTCTAAATTTTCTATACTTAGGATTCTCCTACACATTTATAAGAACTAAGTTCAATATATTTACAAAATAAAGCATCAAATATATAGCATGCCATATATAATTTTATACCTTAGTCTTTTGATTCCACTACTCATCAAGTGCTGATATAGTATTCTTTTTGCTATCCCATCCTAAGCTGGTCTCTTTGTTTAGCAATTTATCCCCTATATTCTAGTCTTTCCTCAAATTGTCCCATTTGTTCTTCAACTGCTTCTTATCATAGCTTCTAGAGCTCAGAGCATTGAACTGTTGTATTAGCGCTTCCCAACCTTTCTTTGATAAGGTAAAGCCTTTGCACTCATTTTTTTTAACTTGTTGGAGAGCTAATTTGATGAACAGTTTAGTCTCTTCGGTAGTCCATAATGCCTTCTCTTTACTCATATTTACTATCAAAATATTACATTCTCAATAATTAATTAACATAAATTAGACCTATTTGTCAACGCACATTTAACAGGAAACAAAGCAACTAATAATTAATTAAGTAAAACCATTCAATGTTCATGTATGAAACCAGACCAAAACTCATAATTCAACATTAGTTTGAACAAAAGAAAACTTGAAAATACACACATAAACACACATAAATCCAGAACAATTCACTAGTAATTGAGCACGAAAAAATTTTAAAACACACACATTCTCAAGACAAGAGATCAAAACCCATGAATCAGTCATTGATTATAAGAAAATTTACAAACATACACACAGAGCAGAGATAATTTTGAACTTAAATAATTTAAGATATGAAAATAGAACCAAGCCACTAATGTTCAGATTTCCACCTTTTCGGTTCCTATTCATTTAGCATGAAAAAAGTTTGAACCATACACATAGAGTAGAACTACGTTCAGATTCACAACATTCCTGTTCATTGAGTATGAGAAAAGTTTGAACCAGACCTTCTTCTTCAACATTTAGATTCGCAACGTCTAAAAGCTCTCAAGTTTTAGATTACTAATGCAAGTGGAAGAAACGGTCAAACAGAGCAGAAGTGCCTTTAGTTGAAAAAAAATAGAGCATAACCAATATGGAGAAAAAATCAGAAGACCATCGAGCATCCAAGACCGAAAAGAAACTCGAGCGTCCGAGTTCAATTCAGGTCTCAAGTGTTTTTACTTTTATCAGCTTCGCAATGCTGTCCAAGACCTAAAAGAAGCTCAATCCGTGAGCTACAAATAGAAAATGGCAACTAGAATGGTGGGGAAGGACGACGGAACGAGACCACGAGCTTGGTGAAGGAAGAAGTCATATCTGTGAATAGAGATGGCGAGGGAGAGACGAAGGAAAGAAGGACGAGAGTCACCAGAGATATGGAGGACAGATGACGGAATAATGGCAGGACGAGGCGAGAGCACAGAGAAGAGAGAACGAAGGTCGGTTTTGAAGAAATGCGGATGAGTTCGGGCAGGAGGAAAAGACAAACATGAGGCCAAGGGTATCATGGTCATTTTAAATAATAGGTATCACATCTTCCTTCAACTGACTTTTTAAAAGCTATTAATATCAGCTTTCAAATTTTTTCGTGCAACCCGGGTCTGAAAAGCACAATCAAAAAGTCAATTTTACACCATAAATAATCTCCAAATACCATTTAACTTTCCCAAATTAAAAAACTACTTTTTGAATGTAAAAAGCAGCTTTCCCAAACGCACCCTTAGAGCTCTCTTGAAGTAGGCAATATGGGATTTTTCCTTTTGACACATCCATAAAAAGCCTCAACACACAACATACACACCAAGACAATTTGTAATAAAATTTAATTTGTGTTATTTACAAATACATACACTATGATGTTTATTAATAATGGATTTAAATATTTTTTATTTTGGATATGATATTCATTTTCATTTATGAATATATAATTGAGAATGTGACTTAGTTGGAATATAAAAGAAAAAGATAGAATAAAAAATTATGCTTTGCCTTAATTTATAATTTTATATATTAAAAAATATTAAAATTTGATCCATGTATAAATCAAATTAAACTAAATTGCTTAAAAACTGAATCAAAATAATCCTAATGAAGAAACCAATCAAGTGTCCTTTCTTGTACAAACTAGTTATTTTTGTTCAGTTTATGTTTTGATCAAAACCAAAACCAAACTAAACCATATCTTTAATCTCTTTTACATTTAACCATATTTTCAATAACATGTATATATTGATGCTAAAAATATTAATTTGGTTAAACTCTTTTTTTTTTTATTGGACAAAACCATATGAACTCACGGAAGGTATTTTTCTATTTATAATCGTAATTTTAAGTTTTTTGCCACATCATTCTCGAGAATTATGTTTTATTCTTTTCCCAGTTAAATTCTGCCATTCTGCCTGAAGTGTTAAAAAGATTATATTTATAGTGTCCTAAAACAATGTACGTAGAGATTCTTCTAACCTTTTGTTAAATCACCTATTCTTGAACAATAATAAATTTGTGGCCAAATACCCTATCCATTGTTTTTTTTTTTGGCCACAACCCTAACCCTTGTTTGGTTGCAGCCAATGGGAGAGTAAATGAGATTTTAATAAATTTGATTAAAAAATTGAAAATATAATTTTTTTTAAAAAATGTAAATTATAAGAGTCAAAAAATTAATTAAAAACTTCAAATCACACATCTCTCTCTTTTTAAATCAAACTCATTGAAATTTCTTGTTCACTTCTAGCCAAACGTACCCTAAATAAAGTTTAAAAAGCCCCAAGTTCAAGAATTGATATTGGTAATCTAAAAAAAAAAAAATCAATCTTAACGTTTTTTCTTTATGTTGCCTGTTTGTTTAAGTTTTTTTTTCCATGAAAAATTACTTATTTTTTAAAAAATTTATTTTATGAAATTTTGTATTATTTGTTTAAAATTTTAAAAGTAATCCAAATCTGAAAGAAAAGACAAAGTTCTAATTATTTTGAAAATTTATTTTTCAATAATTTTTTAAAAAAATCAAACGTGTTAGATAAGCAAAAATGCCATAAAAATATAAATATGCAAAGTGATATTATAAATTTTACAATAACTAAATAATAAATTATTTATTTTATAAATAGAGATCTACAAAGATATTATAAATCTAAAAATAACTAAAAATAATTTATTTTTATAAAATATCTATAAAATAAATATATTTTTATAAAATATTCAAATTATCTAAAAATTATTTATTTTTTAATTTTAAATAAACAACCCCGTGTCTATAGGAGAAACCCCATGTCTATAATTACGTTTTATAACATCTCTACTCTTTGCTTCTCATAATAATAATTTTTAATTTTTGGTAAAAAATAATAATAATTTTTAAATACTAGCTTTATGAAATTCTGACAAATTTTTGAAAAAAAAGTGTTATTTCTTTTTTTAAATGTATTATTACAATTTCTGAATTATACAATTTATTATTAATTTTATGTTTTATATTGATATTAGTATCAATATTAACACTACTATTTTGTTGGAAAAATGTTATTATTAATTGAAACATATTACAATTGATTGATCTTGAGAATGAAGATTTAGTTATTGGTTGATCTTGATAATTAATTCATGAATTTTATTATTAATAATGATAGTGATCTTTTTTTTATTTTGTGGGGATAAGAATGATAATGATGATATGTGCCGTCTTTGGGCTTTGAAGCCTCAACTTTGGGCTTTCAGGACTTACACCCAACCCAACTACAAATAAAGAAAAGGCTTTCGCAGTGCAGGCATTGTCATCATCTTGGCAAGCTGAGATCCTCTACAGCTAGCCCTGTTTGTAAATTGGACATCTTGCAGAGAGATAGCTGAAGGAAAGGGAACATGGAGGAGGAAGAGCATGAGGTGTACGGAGGCGATATCCCGGACATGGCGGAGATGGAAGGAGACATGGATTCTCACCATGCCGATGTCGATATGTCTGCTGCTGACGACGATGCCGTCAAGGTCTTTCTTCCTTCTCTTTCACCTTTTTGCCCCCCAGTTATCTGATCCAAGCCGACTTTGGAAATATTGAATACCTACTACGTTCACCAGGGGATGGATAGTTTGACGCTGCTAGAGAATGAATAAAATGGGAACTTGATATCTTGATCTGACTTTTGAGAGAATTTAAATTTAAATTTAATTTATTATTATTATTATTATTATTTTGTCTACTTGCTTGCTGTAGGAACTGGACGAGATGAAGAAGAGATTGAAGGAAATGGAAGAGGAAGCGGCAGCTCTCCGTGAAATGCAAGCCAAGGTCGAGAAGGAGATGGGTGCAGTTCAAGGTCTTCCTTACTCTTTCCCTGTCTCTCTCTAATAATACTTTTGTGTTTTCTCCCCTTCCGCTCTATTAAGCTATTTATTATTTAAAAGCACAAACTTGATTCCCCCAAATAGTGAAGATTCTAGAATCTCTTTTTGCAAGATTTTTAGTTAAGGTGGATGTAACAATTTTGACTGATACAAGTTAGTTTGAATGCAAAATTGTATGTTTCAGAAAGTATTATGATTCTATGTATGCTGATCGTTTTTAAATTGTCGTGTACGCTTTTTTGCTGTGATGGCTTTGTCTTCTTAATTTACTAACCTTGTCAATTTTGCTCTGTCTTGTGTTTTCTGAATTGGTGCTTTTGATGATATTAAGCTATGTAGTTCTTGCACAGTTTTCTGTATTTCTTTGTTCTCAAGCAATGGTTTTATATATTTGACAGAGCACTTGTCTTAAAAGTGTTTTTCTCAGCAGGGACTTCCCCTTTATTTTTACGAAACAAATTTTGTTATTCTTGCAGTTGATACCCCAGATGTTCTGGCTTTTATAAAGAGTAAATAAAAATGATTCACTTGTTGACTTCTTGAATTGAATCTTTGATGTAGATCCTGGAAGTGCAGCTGCGTCTCAGGCAAGCAAGGAGGAGGCAGATTCTCGATCTGTTTTTGTTGGCAATGTATGAATGACCCACCCTGCTTTGCTTCGCTGATAGTTTTTTTTGAACTAGGCTTCCCCTATCAATCACTCCCATGATATAAAACAATAAAAATAGCAGTGGCAACTTGTCACATGGGCTTGTGTGAACTATTTATTTTCTTATCATTACTCTTGTTCATGCATTATTAGATACTATATAGTTTTCCACTTTTCCTTGCAATCTTTGTAAATTCTGTAAGCAAGAGCAAAAATGCATGATCTGAAGTTTTCATAATTGGCATCATGACAATCTAATTTATATTTTGATTGAAATTCACTTGCTATTTGAGGAAACATTGTTTTCAACCGCTAGGGAGATGGATTTTTTTGTTAAGCCGAAAATATTGTTTGGTCGTTTCAGCTTAGGCTCCAAATCCTCTAGACACCTACCTCTGCAATTGCCGGTTGAGTTGCATTTCAAACATGTGGATGCTCAAACATAATAGGCTAGATTTCTTAGATTTACATGCTGCGTTTGTTATGCTGGGTAACTGCTAGGAGCTACAAAAAGATGATGATTATGATGATCAATAATAATAATAATAATAATAATAATAACAATAATAATTTTTGGGATGTGGAGTGGGCCTGGACCATCTAAGTGTTTAAGGTAACTTGCCTTTTGATTTTCTTGAAAAATATTCCCAATATACTATATTTTTGGGGGTTTCTGTTTAAATGATATTAGTGATCCTTATATTTTAACTTATTGCACTTGCCTACCATTAAGACAGGCTTTTTTTATAACAAGGCTACCTGCTCTTTGGAATTCATCTTGACCTACAGTTTTGGCTTGGTTTTGAGGGGTATATAATTCTGTCATTTGAGATCTATAATCTTTCATTAGATGAAAATTCTATGGGTTAAATTTGCAATTTTTATTTTATTATTGAAAAGGTTACGTGTTCTTATTTTTTTGGAGAGAATACTGTTCATCTGTGGGGACAGTGCTTGACTTGATGTCTCACTATGATCGCAGGGTCAGTCTTACCACTCAACTCCTATAGTTTAGCACTTGGATGCCATTCTTTGTATCTTGTAGATGGGCCAAATTTAAATGGGATGTTTCCTTAGGCTTGTGCTAGAGAGGAAAGAAAATTTATGTTGTGCTTTTGAAATTGAAAAAGATATCAAGAGGGGATGAAAATGTCAGAAGAGAATCAGGAGTAAGAGATTGAGAGTTCTTGAAAAGGAAAAGGAAAAGGAAACATGAGAGCAATTTCCTGAAAAAAAAAAAAGAGAAAAGGAAAAATACAATGAAGTTGAGAAAAAGAAAGAAAGGAAAAAGAAAAAAAGAAAAAAAAAGTAATGCATAATGTTTCTAGTAGTACTATTAAAAGTAGACTCGTGCCAGTAAACCTATGAAAGCATCTCAAATGGATGGCTGAAACTGGAACTGCTGGAGGTACAAAGTGCTAAAGATACCTCAAAGGAGACAACTTATGGTTCATCAGAAGACCATTCTGCAAGTTCTGGGGATGCAATCTCTAGTCATAGAGCCCTGCTGCTGACTGCAAAGGTCTATGGTACCTTAGTTGTGTGCCATTTAGCTGACGTGCCAAGGGTATGCAGTTGCTGCTTCCCTGTGGCCTTTATCTCTGTCGTTTCACCTTTGTGAATAAGATTATCTGATATTTTTGAAATGAGGCATCTTGTTCCTCATTTCATGTTATTTTTCCCTGCATTGAGTTCTTATTATGCTTTCATTTCTTTCCACATTTCCCTTTTTTAACACTTTATTGTTGACCCTTTAAAAGCCATCATTGGACCATTTTACAAAAAGAACTACAATCATCAATAATTCATATATAGTCTTGTGGTTTTTCTTTTCTTGTTTTTAAAAAATACCAATGATGCATTTTTTAAAATGGGGAAAACCAATCATTCAGTCTCTATAAGTATGATTTAGTTAAAACTCAATCCCTAAACTTTGATTCATTATAACCCAATCTCTATAGTTTTATCTATTTAAAATGTTGGTCCTTGCATTTTAAAAATAAAATTATAAAGAATTAAAGTTATTATTAAAGCTTGGACACTAATGTTTTAAATGACAAAAAGTAAGGGGGCTAAGTTGCATTGAGTTAAAATTTAGGAACTGAGTTAAGTCAAACTATTGGGATAATGTTGTACTTAGTTAAAATTTAAGGATTGAATTACAATCAAGTCAAAAGTATCAGAACCAATGATTAATTTTCCTTTTAAAAAATACATGTGTGTATCTTTCAATCACAACTTCCTTTATAGTTGTGGTAGTTCTTAGGCCAGTAAAATTTGGAGCTGTTGTAAATTTTCTTTTGGGGAAGATCAGTATAATGCACAAAAATGGTTTCTCTGAAGATTGAGAAGCATGATGCCAGTAGAATTACTATAACTTGAGGAGTTGTAGCAAGCATGCATTGCTAGTGGGCTACATGCTTGGTTTAGTCATGTATTTGGAATATATCTTTCTCTAGTGGGTTAATTGGACAGTCTGATCAGTAACTGGAATTATTCCTGTGATGTTACTGAGGACTACGAAGAACTGTGAACACTTGTTCGTGGAAAATGAATGTCATGCAATGATTTAGAGTACTTTTTTGATGGCTTGACATCCATTGAGTTATCCAAGTCTATTTTGAGGTTTTCTTATTTCCGGAGATGAGCAATGATTAAACATATGGTATGATAGAATGGTATTTACTCAACAAATACTGCTTTAGTGCATAAGTTATTATAAGCATCATGAACTGCATTTTGTGGAGCTGTAGCTGAAGCGGTGGTATGATAGAATGGTATTAAAAGGAACAAGAATTGTGTGCCTCTGGAGTTCCTTACTCTAATATCTATTTTGATCATTATAGGTATCTAGTCTTCTAAAATAATAAGGATTTTGCAGGTTGATTATGCATGCACACCCGAAGAAGTTCAGCAACACTTCCAATCATGTGGGACAGTGAATAGGGTGACTATTCTTACAGACAAGTTTGGTCATCCAAAAGGTTTTGCTTATGTGGAATTCCTGGAACCTGAAGCTGTCCAGGAGGCTATTGTCTTGAATGAATCTGAGTTGCATGGTCGTCAATTGAAGGCATGTCTTTTCAACTTCTATTTGAACTTTCCTTGTGATATTTCCTCTAAGTAAAGTAGCTATAATCTTGTGGATTCACATATTTCCAGGTTATGCCAAAGAGGACCAATGTCCCTGGAATGAAACAGTATCGCCCCGGCCGTTTCACTCCTTACATGCCGTATCGCTTCAGGAGGCCATTCCCTTCGCCTTACTTTTACTCACCTTATGGATATGGGTATGTTGCTTACAGGAATCTTATTTAGATTACCCTCTCTTTTTTTGAATGGAAAGTGGATCCATATATTAGCACAAGAAACTATTTACAACAGAAAGTTAACAATAGAAAGCACTACTACCTTTCACAATCTACACCCACAAAAAGGCACCAAAAGAATCAGAATTGTTAAGGATCTTAATATAATGAAACCAAGCAATACTCAGGCCCAATAGTTAAACATAGACTTTCTTGTATAGGGATTATTTATTATTCATCTATTCTTTTTATTTTGTATTTTGTTGTATATGTGGCCCTAGGCCTTATCATATAAGGAGTAATAAATCTAGGGCATTGTGTGCCTTCTTTACATATTTTCTATTCTCCTATTATTTTATCTTGGTATCAGAGCCATAACTAGGTTGTGCCGCCATGGTCGATAGTTCTTTTGCCAGCTCACTGAAAACTCCATACACCTTAACCAACAGCTCAGCTCTTGATTCTGTTGCTAATCTTGTTAAGAATCCTTTGGCGCCATCAACTCTGTCACAGACTATTTCTATCAAGTTGGACAGAAATAATTATCTTCTTTGGCAGACTCATGTTCTACCTATTCTTAAAGGGTATAAACTAGAAGGTTTTGTTAATTGAACTAAGGCATGTCCTCCTCAGTTTATTATTGAAAACAATGAGACTAAGCTTAATCCAGCATTTGAGGATTAGGTCTCAGCTGATTAGTTAGTTTTTGGATGGTTATTAAATACCATGACTCTCGAAATCTCCTCTCAAATGACACAAGTTGCTTCTGTTGCTGGCTTATGGACTGCTGCTCATGAGTTGGCTGGCTCACAAAACTGTGCTCGTGTTCTCATGCTACGTTCCAAGCTCCAATGTACCAGGAAGGGTGTGATGATTATGGTTGATTATTTAGGCAAGATTAAAAAGCTTTCTCAGAGTCTTGCCCTAGCGGGCTCTGCTGTACCTTAATCTGATCTGTTTATGCAAATTCTACGTGGGCTTGATGGGGAGTACAACCCTATTGTTGTGCAACTTACTTCTGCCAAAGAAGAAATGAACTGGATTGAGTTTCAAACTTAACTTCTTACATTTGAAAGTAGACTAGAGTAGCTGACCCATATGTTGCAACTCAGTCTTTCTACTCAGTTTGCTCATCTTGCTACATCTGATGGTTCTCGTGGAGGCTGGTGAGGTTCTTGTGGAAGGAGTCAGTGTGGTTGTGGTAGATCTGGTCATAGTTGTGGAGTCTCGTGCCAGTTGTGTGATAAGCCAGGTCATACTATCAAAGATTGCTTCAAGCGTTTTGACAGGAATTTTAATCCTCCTTGCAGCTCTCGTCACACCTCAAATGCTGGTTTTTCATCAATTAATGAAGCCTTTTATGCCACTCCTAAGACTGTTGTAGATGAATCTTGGTATTTGGACAAAGGGGCAACAACTCACGTGACCAATGATGCTTCTCGTTTGAACAACTCAGTCCCTAATGGTGGTAAGGCTAATCTTTTGGTAGCTAATGGTCAAAATCTCAGTGTTCTTGAGATAGGTTCTTCTCAGATTTCTAATGTACCTAGGCACTATGTTCAATTGAATAATGTTTTATATGCTCCTAAAGCTAAAAAGAATTTACTGAGCATACCCAAGATTTCTGATGATAATAATGCATTGGTTTTATTGAATAATCGTGCTGCTGTGATTAAGGATTAGGAAATAGGGACAGTCCTACTATAGGAAATGAGAAGTAATCTTGGGCTCTATAAAGTGGATGCTAAAAGAGTAAGGAAGAGGAGACCCTCTCAGTTTTGTCAAAAGCAAGATTTGCTATTTGCTGTTGACGGAGAAGTCATTTTTGACAATTATAGTATTTCTAAGGCTAGTATTAATGTTGATAATTCTGATATTAGAAAGTTATGGCATGACAGACTTGGCCATCCTAGTACTAGGGTTTTGAAACAAATTATTAGATATTATAATCTCAAAGTTAATGATAATTTTGAGCTTATGTTTTGTGAATCTTGTCAGTTTGGCAAGTCTCACTCTCTTCGTTTCAAACTCTCTACTTCTCATGCTGCACATCCACTTGGTTTAATCCACACAGATCTGTGGGGATCCTCTCCATTATTGTCTTTGAATGGATTTCGTTATTATATATTATTTCTTGACGATTATAGTCGCTATTCATGGATTTATCCTTTGAAATCTAAAGATGAGGCACTTCAAATGTTTTTTCAGTTTAAGACCTTTACTGAAAAACAATTTGATAGAAAGATTAAAGTGGTTAAAAGTGATTGGGGTGGTGAATATAGAAGTTTTTCTAAATTTCTTCAAGAATGTGGTATTAAATTTCGACACTCATGTCCTCATACCTCCCAACAAAATGCCAGGGTAGACAGAAAGCATTGCCACATTGTGGAGACAGGTCTCACTCTTCTTGCACAAGCTAAAATGCCTCTCCATTGTTGGTGGGAAGCATTTCATATAGCCACTGAACTTATTAACAAACTACCTAGTGTTGTTCTAGGAGGTGGTTCACCTTACTTAAGGTTATTTACTAAATAGCCAGATTATTCTCAGTTTAGGGTGTTTGGGGGTGCTTGCTACCCATGCTTAAGGCCCTATAATCAACATAAGTTGCAATTCAAATCAACCAAGTGTGTATTTCTGGGTTACAGTAATTCTCATAAAGGATATAGATGCTTGAGTGCTACTGGCAGAGTATATATTTCAGGACATGTTCAGTTTAATGAGCATGATTGTCCTTTCTCAGCAGGTTTTATTAACAAAAAGAAAGTTCCTGAAGGTGTTAATATTGGTCCAAAGGTCTTCACAACCCTACTCTTTGGTGTTCCCACTACTTGTTCATTCTCCTCAAGTCAGCACTAATGTCGTTGCTAAGCCAGAGAATAATTTTCCCAATTGTCCGGATTCACGATCCATTGAGCATAACTCTGCAAGAAATTTAGGAATGTCAGTACACACTGATTCTACTGAAGCTTCTCAATCTATGCCATCAAATGATATGATATCACAAGATGATGATTGAAGTACAAATAATTCAACAGCATCAGAGACTATCACTCCAGCATTAGAAAATCAAACTACAACTCATAATAGGCATCCAATGGTAACAAGAAGTAAGGCAGGTGTCTTTAAGCCTAAAACTCAATTTATTGGGCTTACTAAATCCTCATTTGATGATTTTTCAGAACCTCAAACTATTTCTGCAGCATTACAATCAAAGTTGTGGAAGAAAGCTATGACAGATGAGTTCAATGCTCTTGTTACTGACAAGACCTGGGTTCTTGTTCCTTTTATAGGAAAGGAAAAACCCGTTGATTGCAAATGGGTTTTTAAGACTAAAGTGAATTCTGATGGATCTTTCTCACGGGCAAAAGCAAGATTAGTAGCAAAAAGGTTTCAACAACATCGTGGGATTGACTATGAGGAAACATTTAGTCCAGTCTTGAAACTTGTCACTTTAAGGCTTATTCTTAATATTGTTGGGTGTTTCAAATGGCCAGTTAGACAACTTGATATAAATAATGCGCTTCTCAATGGTTATCTACAAGAAAGAGTTTACATGAAACAACCTGAGGGTTTTGCTGATAGAAGGTATCTTAACGCTATTTGTCTGCTTAACAAAGCTATTTATGGTTTAAAGCAAGCACCTATGGCTTGGTTTGAAAGATTGAAGAGCACACTTTCTAACTGGAATTTTAAACATTCATAGTGTGACACTTCTTTATTCTTCTACAAAATAATGACTAGCATTATGTTTGTCCTTATTTATGTAGATGACATTATTATCACAGGGAACAACTCAGTAATGCTCAAAGAATTTGTCAGACAACTAAATTCAATATTTGCTCTTAAGGATTTGGGTTGTCATTATCATTTCCTAGGCATTGAAATCTATCGAGACACTACAGGTTTGTACTTAAAACAAGAGAATTGTATTCTTGAACTACTCAAGAAATGTGGAATGACTAATTGCTCACCAGTGCCAACACCGATGGTGGTTAATAAACTTCTCTCAATTGATGGAGTTCCTCTTGCAAATCCCACTACTTACAGACATTTAATTGGGGCTCTACAATATTTGATTAATGTCAAGCTAGAGCCTAGATATCTTGTTTGTAGTAAATAAGCTTAGTCAATTTCTTCATCAATCAACAGATCAGCATTGGCACGCAATCAAACGTGTACTCAGATACTTAAAAGGCATAGCAGTTCTGATGCTTCAGATTAAACCAAGTGAGCGTTTTACTCTCGGATTCTGATTAGGCTATCTGTGTGGATGACCGTCGCTCAATTGGAGGGTATTGTGTTTTTCTTGGTGATTCCTTGGTTGCATGGTCGGGGAAGAAGCAGAAAGTTGTCACACGGTCAAGCACTGATTCAGAGTATCGTGCTCTGTTTGACCTCACGATGGAATTTGCTTGGTTACAGTCGATTCTTATTGAAATTGGCTTCAAGCTTTCTCAGATTCTGATTGCGTGGTGTGATAATTTGAGTGCATTTGCTTAAGCCTTCGATCCGGTCTTCCACTCTTGGACAAAGCACTTTGAGTTGGATGTTCACTTTGTTCGTGAACGACTGATGTCTTGCCAGATGTTCGTCAACTATGTGCCATCCGCAGATTAGATTGCAGACTTATTTACAAAGGCCCTTTCTCATTCTAGGCTTTTAGACCTCAGAAATAAACTCAGCTTGGTTAGACAGACGCCCAGCCCCTCGTTTAAGGGGGTATGTTAAGGATCTTTAATATGATGAAGCCCAATAATGCTCAGGCCCAATAGTTAAACCTAGACTTTCTTGTATGGGGATTATTTATTAATCATCTATTCTTTTTATTCTTTTGTATTCTGTTGTATATGTGGCCCTATGCTTTATTTTCTCTCTATACAAGGAGTAATAAATCTAGGGCACTGTGCGCCTCTTTTACATATTTTCTATTTTCATATTATCTTATCTAGAACTTGCTAAACCTATCCTCATCATTTCTCTTACATAAATATTACTAGTAGCTGTGGAAAAGTTCAAAAGTACATCCCAGTCTCATGATTAATCTTCTAGCTTGATTTAGGATGTCATCCAAAGGATTGATTGGTGAAATGTCCCTGTTCAGCAGATAAAACTTTCAGCACAATTTAGGTCCACCTCAATAGTTTTGTGACCTCTATCTAATCAGTGGTCAAGTTCATAAATTAAAGCTTGAATAACAGCAGTATTTGTATTACACTTATGCCAAGTTGTGTTAACTGATATTTCCTGTTTTCTTTCTTTTGTCCACTGCAGGAAGGTTCCCAGGTTCAGAAGACCAACTCGGTACATGCCATATTATTAGAAGTCAGTGTGCAATGATGTTACAGTTATGATGATGAGCATCCCAGGACATTTTTTTGTGTCTCTCATTTCTATTAATTTTCGGATTTGGTCTGTCAGTGGTTTGAGTTTAGCGTTGCTATTCACTTCATCTGCATCTGCATGCTATGGGATTGTGGAGACTTGTTTTTCTTTGTTGTCACCGGGCTAGTTCCTAATGTTGTATGTTGATTACTTAGATTAGAACCTGACGCAAATAGTTCGGTGTTTCAAGTTTCCATTGAATATCATATCATTGTGAGAACCCTTATATTTAGGGAGAATGAAAATTAGGTCATGAAACATTGAATTAAGGGAGAATCACATGAAAGGATGATTTAAAAAAATTATTTACAAATAGAGATCAATATAAAATAGGTTGTTGTAAAAATGGGATGTGATTTTTTTTTTTAAAAAAGAGATTTCTTGCTAGTTTTTGTTTGTGAATAATTTTTTTTAGTCCTTAGATGTGGTTTTTTCTTAAATTAATTATAGTTAGATCTTTGATATTTTTTTAAAAGAAAAAATAGTTTATAAATATTAATTTCAGATATAATTTGAGAGTTACATTTGAAATTTAAATGTTTTATTTGCAATTATAATTTATCAATTTATAATTATTTGAAATGACATTTTTAAAATTATTACACTATTATTAATTCAATATTTTAAAATCTAACTATTTTTCTTCCTTGTATTTATGAGCTCACTTCTTGCATGGACATCGCCTAAGAAGATTTACTTTTTTTTTTGGTCAACTTCATCTGAAAATGTGTCGCATAAGAAGTGAGGGTTTTTGGGGTTAATTTCAGAGTACTAATCATTCAATTCAATTAATATCATACAATAATAAAATTTACTCATTTAGTTCATTAATAATAAAAAATATAACTTTTGTTTAGTTGTCCTATTTAATTTGTTTGCAACCATTGAGAAACAGTAATTAGATAGTAAAATATTAAATTTTATGATGGATTTGGTTTTAATTTACGCTGCATGTTCATCTTGATAATGATAACATAAAATGTATTGCCAAATTCTGTCAATTTTAGTGATTTAATGCTAATTTTTCTTTCTAACTTGTTATGGATTGATTTGCAATTTATATAAAATAAGTCTCGGTCTGGAATTTTTCATTGTTTTGATCGTAAGATAATAAATTTTTGTATGGACAAAAAGTACTGCCTTATTCGTATTTTTTCTGGATAAAATTATATCAATTCAAATCAAATAAAATTTTATGTCATTAAAAATGATTTTATTTTTGGAATATAGTGATGAATGCCTCTTTAATTTATTAACTTTTCTTTCTTTATCGTTATCAATAGCATAAACAATTTACATTTACATTTATTTGATGTGACATATTTTTATTAGATAATATATAAATGAGTTAAGCGTTAATTTTGTTCCTCTATGTGAAATGTCACAAATAATTTTAAACTTAACTTTAAGTTAAACTTGTTCCTCAACTTATGAAAATTTGTTAGTCATGCCCTTGATGTCAAGTTGTACACTATTCTTGTCATGTGATTTCACATTTAATTTTTTTTAATAGTTGTTATTATAAAATATTATTTAATAGGTCTCACTTTTTTTAAGTATTTTTTTATAATATAAAAATATCTCTCTCCCTTCCATTCATCTCTGTCTCTATTGGTGAGCCTAGACAATGATTTCTCTCTCCGTCGATTAGACTTAGACGGTGCTTTTTACTGGATAGCTGCCCAAACAAGCAGGGTGATGTGAAACAAAACAGAATATTTCATTGGTTTAAAGATTGCCTTACTTGAGCTCACAAAGCCACACGAAATCATATTTGTGTGTGCACTATCATCCCAAAGAAATAACCCAGGTTTTAAATAGCCAAGTCCAAGAAGAAAATAACGAAACAAATACAAGAAGAAAAGAAGGCTAAGACAGGCTCATAACACAAGCCCAAATATTTAACTTTCAACACCTCCCCTCAAGTTGGACTTGAAGATATTAAATGTTTCTAACTTGTACAACATGCGCTCATGCATTTTTCTACCAAGAGCTTTGGTTAAAACATTTACTTCTTGTTCTCTTGACATCAATCCTTTAAATTGATCAACCCACTTTGAAGCTTTTCACATACAAAATGACAGTCAATCTCAATGTGTTTCGTTCTTTCATGATGAACCGGATTTGAAGCAATTTGGATTGTAGCTTTACTATCACAGTGAATACACATAGGAGCTAAGTCAGAAACATGCAAATCTTTAAACAAACCAGTAAGCCATATAACCTTAGACACAACAATTCCTAAGGTCCTATAATCTACTTTAGCATAAGACCTTGAAACAGTAGTTTGTTTCTTCGATTTCTAGGAAATAATAACCCCACCTAGTTTAACTAAACATCCTATAATAGACCTATGAGTTTTTGGGCATGAAGCTCAATCTGAACCACAATATCCTTCTAGCTTCATATTTCCAAAGGAAGGAAAGGAGAAACACCTACCAGGATCTTTTTTAAGATGTTTTATAACATTTAAAGCAGCCTTAGATGTGATTTTTTAGGACTGCTCATGAATTGACTCAATACTTATATATCAGGCCTAGCTATGGTCAAATATAACAATTTTCCTATTAATCATCTATATCTAGTAGAGTCTTCTAACAAATCATCTTTCTCACCCTTTTTAGGCTCACTGTGAAGCTTTAAACTTGAATTTATAGGAACATGACTTGGTTTTGAGGCTCCTAAACCAGTAGTAGCTATAAAGTCTAAAGTGTATTTCCTTTGATTTAGTCTTAACCCTTTTTTTTATTTAGCAACCTCAGTGCCAAGGAAATATTTTAGTAATCCCAAATCCTTCATTTTAAAATTAACATGCATGAAATCTTTAGTTTTCTTTATCCCTTCATGACTACTTCCAATAATAACAAGGTTATCGACATAAGCTAGAACAATAATAAAATCACCTTTATCTTGTTTGGTAAATAAAAAATAATTATATTTGCTTTGAACAAAACCACCAAAAATTAATGCTTCACATAATTTTACATTTTATTGTCTAGTTGCTTGTTTTAAACTGTATAGGAATTTATTTAGTTTGCAAATCTTTTTCTCCCCATGTTTACTAAACCCCATAAGAATTTTCATATAGACTTCTTCAACTAAGTCCTCTTGAAGAAAAGCATTATCAACATCCATTTGAATTATGTCCCATTTGTTACATGTAGCTATGGCTAAAACTAAACGTATGATGGTCATTTTTACAATAGGGGAAAAGTTTCAAAATGGTCTATTCCTTCTATTTGACTAAAGTCTTTAGCTACTAACCTGACCTTCAACTTATTTAGAGTCCCATCATCATTAAACTTCTTAAAAATAGCCTATAGGTTTCTTACCTAAGGGTAAATCTACTATTTTCCATGTCTTATTGTTTTCTAAGGCACTTATCTCATCTTGCATTGCTCTAATCCATCTTTTATCTCTTACTACTCCTTTAAAAGTGTCAGGTTCACTTATATCATTTGTCAAGGCTATGAAATCTTTGTATGATTCATAAATGTTTGCATAACTAATATTATGTTGCATAGGGTATAGGATCTTATTATTTCCTTTCTTGTCTATTTTGTTTAGAAAGCCCATATCAGAGCAATCATAATCTCTAAGCCAACTGGGAGCTTTCCTATGTCTAATGGGCCTGTGAATATCTGGGTTATGGTTTGTTTTATCAATAGAATTGGCATTATTATTAGGCATGCTACTGTTTTCATCTAATTCAATTATAGGCTCACTAATAGGTTGCAAAGGAAAATCAAAAGACACAATACGACCAAGAATGTCATCAACTATAAAAGGGTCTTGTAAACATATCTAATTCTGTTGATTAACATTAGATGACTGATTAGAGAAAGGAAACTTGCTTTTAAGAAAAACAACATCCCTTTTGATTGTTTCCTAGCTTCAAATTTATCTAACCTCTCAAGAATCTTAGCATATGGACACCTAAACACTTTCATATTTAATAAATTAGGCCACCTCTTGTATAATATTTCATATGGTGTTTTAGAATTCAAGACCTTTGAGGGAATTCTATTAATGATATAGATAACAGTCCTAACAGCTTCCTCGCAGAACTGAATAGGCATATTAGCTTGAAACATTAGACTTTAAGAAACTTCTAACACACGCATATGCTTTCTTTCTATAACCCCATTTTACTGTGGGGTATGCACGCAAGTAGTTTTATGAATAATGCCATTTTCAATGAAATATGTTAAAAGATCATGATTGAAAAATTTAGCTCCATTATGACTTTGAATGCATTTAATTTTAGTAGAAAATTGATTTGTCATGAGGCAGATGAATTGTTTTAGATAATAGAAGGTTTCATGTTTGTTATGCATGAGATAAATCTAGGTTGTTTGAGAGAAATCATAGACTATAGTGAGAAAAAAATTTGTAACCTTGATAAGTAGGGTGTTTATAAGGACCCAACATGTCAATGTGAAGCAAATCAAAACAAGAAGCAATTTTTATTTGACTAGAAGGAAAAGGAAATCGAGTCTATTTTGCTTTAAAGCAAATATTACAACCAAAGAAATTGATAGAGGATAATAGCCCTTGTAGGAATTACATGCTTAAGAATTGAGTCTAATGGATGCCCTAATCTTAAATGTCAGATATTATCATCAAAAATAAATTTGCTAGAATGAATATTAAATGGTAGAGTGAGGCTTTCATCTACCAAATATAGACCAGATTCTTTTCTACCAATCATCTTGGTTTTGCCACTGAAGAGATCCTATAATACACACACATCAAGAAAAAATGCGACCACACATTCCATATCTTTTGTTAGGCAAGATATGGATATCAAGTTATAACAAATTCCTAGTGCATGTAGAACATTTTCTAAAACAATATTTTCAAATATCCTTGCACTACCAATGTAAGTGACAATGAGTTTATCAGCATTAGGAATCTTTATTTTAAGTGGGGACCTATGGTGTTTTAGATAAGTGTTGAGAAAGAATAATTTGCTCACAACATAACAAGAAGCACCTAAATCTAATAGCCAGTGTGGTTGTGTATTATGTGTAGAAGTATGAGAAAATGAATAGAAATCCGAACCTGAAGACTCGCTTAAGTCATTTATAGCTATTTCTCATACTAAGAGCGTCTTAAATTAAAGAGATTAGATTTTTTTCTTCAAATTATCAATAATCTTCTTATAGTCCTTTGGAGTCAGCAATTGACGACCAGATGAGGGGTCCTGTTGTGAATTGGACATAC